TATATGCATACATAGCAACAGTAGGGGAAAATACGTCATTTGATTCTACGGTTACGAGCCAAACAGCTCTACATGTTTTATTCAAAGAAATTTTTTTATTATGCCGTTCTTGCAGCTAACGGGCGATTTTATATTTTTTTAATTTTTTCACTTCTGCAGAATATACTTTTTTTTATTTATAGATGTTTACGTGTGCGTAGCAATCTGAATTCAATATCTCGATGTATGTGTGAAGAAGAATGCAGAGGGTGTCGATTATTAGATAACCCAATCCAATTTGATATATACCTAGCTATGTATGCATAAGTATGTTTTCTCAGTTTATTTGGTTCCAAATATGTTTAAATTTAAGCAATTCGTTTTTGCGTAGAAATTCTTATAAATTTACTTAATTAAATTTTTATAAATTACACTGGATTTGAAGCATTTTATCGATGCAAGAGTGGTAAGCTGACATGTTTTATATTAAGATTTTAAATCTACATCGTAATTATCTGGAAGTGTTCATAAATGAATTTTTTGTATATAAAATAATAATAGTATACCCCTCAACCAACCGCTTGTTAATAATTTTTTACTAACTGGAATATGAGCAAATCTCATGAGTTGTAATTTTAAGTGTCACTGCCTTCTCTCGCCAGAAAGCAAAACGCTTAAACACATTATCCTTGCACATACTACAACCAATGGAGTTTCAGAAACAAGTACTTATAATAAAAATAAATCAAGCATTTGAAGAATTGTAGCCTTTAAACGTTTATTTTGGTTGAAAAGTATTGAAACTACTCATGTTTTCACTCTCACTTGAAAAAAATCATTTTTTTTTTATTTTTGGTTTAATAACTTCAGGAAGTTTTAAAATAAAATGTTCATATTGAAAGCAATGGACATTGGCATCAAGTACAACATATCTTTGAAGTTTCCAGAGTCTGCAGCACATCTGTCGCAGCTATTTTTTAATTTTTTAAATATTAATATTTTTCCAATCTAAATAAGCTACGATACTTCAAAGTGTTACAATTGAACGGTGAAAATGTTCTCGTTGCCAAAATAAACGAATCTTGTATAATTAAACTAGTGTGCTACCAGATGAAAAAAATACACTCAGTAAAAGATGGCTATGATTTGAGAAACTGAAATTCCATTTTTACAAATTTTATTGCCACACTCGAAATACATTCTTAAATTGTTATATGCATACATGAAGAAAGTAGTATATATGGGCATAAGCAATACTGTGTAAAAATCTTCCACGCCAATATTTCATTAATTTTTAGTTATAGGATTTTTAAATTAAGGCGTGCGAATAAACGTAGTTGCTGAATGTGTATGGTGCTACAGGGCGTAGACGTTACATACACAACTACAGGAATATGAGCACGACTTGTTATTTTTACTTTTTTTAGTATATATTTTTTAAGTTTACAATTAAATACATTTTCGCGATGGAAATTTGTTTTTTTTTAAGCAAAACGGAAGATAAGGCATTGTCTAGGATAACCATCAAAACACGTATTTGTCGAAAAGTGTAAAAACTCGTGAGATTTGCTCATATATGTAAGTAGTTTTCTACAAGGCTCCTTCGTACTAGTGCCTGAATCCTCGTTTCGCTTAAAATGGCTAGCATAGGTCTCTCCCAATTCTGATGAAATTGGTGCTGTTGCTAAACGCAATTTTACTTATGCTGGATTTCCTCTAGACATTAAATGACAAAAATTTTAATGACAAAGTTGGGCATTAAAAAAAATATTCGTTCCTTATAGAATAGGCATTAAATAATTTAATTTCCACATGGCATTTTTAAAATGACACGAATTGTTAGTCATTTCAATGTCTAGTGGCTCCACCAAAGCTCCCTCCCTTTTTGGCTCTGACACAACGTTCTAGCACCTACTAAGTCTACAACTACAGGGACGATATGATTGAACGGCATTGTCCTTCACCTTGTATGTCCGCACCAGAGTCTAAAGGCAAGCCCCTGCCATCCGGTATTCGAAAGCTGTCTCACATATGGAAGAGGTCACCGGACGATCCACTAGTGTATCTACCGGTCTCACCGTTTATAGGGATCATCAGTGTGTTCACCGATTTTCTGCAAGGACCAGTCACCCATTATCAACCGACACTAACACAAGTCAATGTAATCTTTAAGAGACATGCAACAGTGGCCAACATCGCCACCGCTACTATATTTTGGCATCGATCATCGTCAGCCTCGCCATCGAAGGTACTCCCTATCTCTTTTAAAGGAAGTTTTCTCTTTCCATCAGGTCTCTTACAGCTCTACATTTTCCCCTGGTGGCACTTTCAGTATCTTCTAGATATAAAATGGAATCTACGCTCGACCCTTTATTCGCTGAACCTCGTTGGAGTCATCGACCAAGTCCGTCTGATCAAATTTATTTCCTAAAGCAAATTTTTCTTCTGGTACAATAAATTTAAAATGTAAAAGTGTTCATAAGTACATGCATACAAAATGTTCTAACAAAAATTGTTTACAAAACTAAGTGCTCCCACTTAAACACATAAAGCTTAGTAAGCCTTTTACATACAAAGCCTTGCGTAAATTAGTAGAAATTTTACCATATTAAGCGATGCAAATGCTGGTACCTTGTAGAGGTTTATTTTTTATATACAAACTTAAGTATGCGAGTAGGCGTGCAGCTGCACGAGCACTTTTTCACTTTCTAAGTGGAATTCTAGTGACCATTTTAATGAAAACTGCGCTTAGTTTAAGGCACAAAAACTGAATGGACGAATAGAGCTCTTAAAATACGTATAGATATGTATGTATGTACGTATGTTTGAGCAACAAAAAGAATTTTTTTCGTTCCAAAAGATTCCACAGCAGCAGCGCTAAAAAAACGTATTTTAACAAAACAAAAATCTAATTTTAAGAGTACTCATGAGAAAGTTTGCGTAAACTCAGTTGGAATATCAAATTTACCCAGGAACGTAATTCACTTAATTAGGTACATATGTATGTGCGCACGTACGCCAAGGTGGAGAACAAATGCGCACTCTCTGTGTGCAAAAGCCCGTAAAATTAAAATACTAAATTAAAAATAATTAACAAAAAATTCTTTTTTAATAAAAGTGGTCGTTCAAATTAAAAAAAACACACACACACACATCGTAAATTTTACGAATGCGCACTCCACATATTCAACGTTTATGCGCTTTAAGTGGTTTACAGGGCGTATGAGTGCTGTATATAAATAAATTAGACGAAGCTATGCATGCATGTAGAAACACTAGCGTTCCCGCTTACAACGATTGCATATATGTATGGTACATACATACACATACCAAAGCGTGCGCGGCCTCTAAATAGCATCATGTGAACAAAAACAAAAGCAACTATTGGCCATAAAATACCTTCTAACATACAAATTGTGGAAAAGAATCAGTCGGCAGGCATGGAAATACATAGGTGGATTTACATAGACCAGTATGCCAGCACAGCAGGCGTTTGAAAGCGTTGAAAGTCGAAGCCGTGGTTTTACACCCGAATTAAATTCATTTACCATCGTTTTACATCCACTGTACACAAATTTTTATACGCATGTCCTTGACTTTAAGTAAACAATGCATATAAAATAACCACATCATATTATATGGCCAGAAAGAAGCACACAAAAATTTCTTGCCTTGCAGCTTGAACATATGGACATGTGTTGTTGCCGTGCGCTCATTTTGTTTAGTTTCCTTGCTACTGGTTAATTTGTTAAGCACTTTGTTGCTGTTGGTGAAATTTTATGAATTCATATATGTATATACTTTTCCATTGCATAGCTGACTGCTTTCTCGGCTTTCCTCTGCTGGCAAGTTTTCATTTTACAGTGCATTCCGAGTTTTGTATGTTTGAGCGCAAACTACACGTCATTCACACAAATTAAGAGAGTCTGAATATTACTCGCACGCCTGCATGGTATCGCGCACGCTCTAGGCACGACTCGACGAACGAAGAACAAGGAGTTTATTAAGGCTTTGAAAGCCAATCGCTAGGCTTCTCACAGTAATACTATCGGGAAGCTGTAGAGATGAGGAAGAGGTAGAATCCCTCCAGCACTTCCTTTTGCGAGTGTCTAGCACTCTGAGCACAACATCTCAAGTTTTTTGGGGACCAGTTCCTCGAGAGCCTTTATAATCTGAGTGCAACTCCACTGGAAGAACTGCTAGGACTCGCCAGAGAATCAAAGTGGTTCAAAGACATGTAGGGATTGGGATGGGGTAACCGCCCTGGGGATCGCAATAAGCCGTTGTGGCCTCCGAGTGAACTCTTCTCGGAACTGCTGGTGTAACCTTCACATAGGCCATGTTAAACTTTAATTCTTTTGAAAAAAGTTGGTAGTTGATTGACAAAAAAATTCAAATAGTAACCCACCAAACAATTTGTGTTGCCGGCAATAAGAAAACGTGTCGCCCT